TTCTTGGACCAATGGAGGCGAGGGCGCAGCAGACGACACAGAGAAAGAGAGAGAGGAGAGAGGAGAGGAGGAGGGGAGAGGAGGGGAAGAGAGAGAGAGAGAGAGAGGAGGAGAGGGGAGGGGAGAGAGAGAGAGAGAGAGAGAGAGAGATAGGGGGGGCGGTTCAAGTGGAATTACATAAATGTTGAGTAAACGACGCGTGTGCGTGTGTGCGTTTCAATCAGGGAGGCCTTCGGTGTCTCCCTCTTCATTTCTCTGCGAATGTGCGGCCATGGCGTCCTAATTTGGTGCCGTAAATCACGCCACTCGTTTTACAGTTTGGGGGAACGGACGGCGTGGCCTTGTCGCACTACTTGGGTGCGGTCAATTGCAAGGAGAGCACACCCAGAGACACACACTGACACACACTGACACACACTGACACAGACGCACACGGACACATACACACACACACACACACACGCAAATGGCTAAGCATGGCCGGGTTGAAATTATCGTAACGCGCTTTGCCGCATTACCCGGGCTGCATGGGGTGCGCCGCGCCGCCCGGTCCGCCTTCAGCGTCTCCTGCGACCGCAACTCATAATATCGAGTCGCCCTCCCCTCCCACCAAAAATACTCGACACGACACGAGAAAGGGGGGAAATACGACGTGTTTTACACACATCCGCACCAAAATCGACTCCGCGATCAAGCGGATGGAAATATAAATGAAAACGGGATACTCGTAATTTTCGCCCGACGCGAGCACTCACACATGCGCGCGCACACACAGACACACACACATACACACACGATGGAGGTGGCGCACCGCTCCTTACCTTCCTTCGTTTTTCCCGGTTAAACAAACGAGCGCGATGTTTATGATGATTGGCGGAGCGGCACAGGCGCAGTGCCCTTCTCGAAACCATTCAATTTCCCTTTGCCGGTTGGTCCTCGACCTCGACCCGGTCCTCCCACCTACCTGTCCTGTCCAACAGTGCGACATCTTTTTTTTAGTCCTGTTTCCTTCGTTTTTGGCGTGATTTGCTTTGAAATGAGTGTAAAACAGAGTGTACCTGCAGCGAGGCTATCCGGGCCGCGAGGAGCGTACAGTGCTCGAGTGCAGAGTGCAGACACTGCACCAGGGCGGGCGCTCCGTGCAGTGGGCCACAGTCGACGCCCCCGCACGCCCACGCAATGCTGCGCCCAGAAGA